ATACACACAATTTAATACAATGTTAACAATCATAAAGTAAGGAAACAGGCCAGCCGATGCCGAGAGATGCCAAGCTTTGGCTCAAGAGGGTGCATTTTGAAGAGACCTTCTTTTGTTTCGAAAATCAATTACTATACAGTTTTAAAATAGTTGTTCTTTTCAGGCTTTTGAAGATATTTACATTGAACAGCGGAAGACAATCCGGACCATCCTTGAGTATGCTGACAAGATCTTCACATATATCTTCATCCTTGAGATGTTGTTGAAGTGGACAGCCTATGGATTTCAAAAATACTTCACGAATGCATGGTGTTGGCTGGATTTCCTCATTGTTGACGTACGTATCCGACCTTTTAGTGTACTTTTTGAGACCTTTAAGTGCTGGTGGGCGTGCATGATATAGTTATGTTTAGTTATATTCTCACCTAGCAGTATAAATGTGTTTAATTCAATATAATACATTTAAGGTGCAATGAACTGTTATGCCAATCTTGTCAGAGTATACTATGAACAAGAAGGTTTACTCTCATAAATAAATCTAAAATTCAACAGCAAATTATGTCAATGAGACCTCTCCATGATGGTTTTATGGCTGACTTAATCTGATAAAGAAATTGGTTTAAGTGATGGAGGGTTTTGGTCAATAGATTAGCAAATCTGAAGAAGACTTCAATCTTCATTCCATTCAGATTCTCTTCACCTAACAAAGCTTGAACCATTCCCTTTTCTGACAAATATATTGTTTATTTTTGTTTCAGAGGTTAATAGGCGTGTCAAATGATCTTTTCGCAAAAGATAAAATTTGTACGAACAAAATCTCAGTGTATTTAAAAGTGGAAATATTAATAGTGAATGTAAGACGTTGGGGATGCAGTACTTTTATTTTTAATTCATTATGCAGAAATTGGAGCCAAGTGTTGTCCTTTATTCATATATGCATTGGCTTGTCGTTCTTTTCTTGTGTAAAGAAAAATTGAAGTCCAGATTTTAAAGGTATCCTCTCCATCTTTCAATCATTTAATCTCTTTGAATGTTAACATATGGTAAAGCCTGTTCTGTGATATTGTCATAACTTGGAATATTATGTTCTGCCACTAGAGATATACTTGTGATTTACTTTCACTGTTTGAAGCATTTGTCTGTGCAAATTTATTGACTCTGCTGGGTTGTTCTATTATAGCACTGATGCTAATATGCAGACCTTTTCCAAAATGATTAAAATGCCATTTCAAATTTGGGTGTTTTGTTAAACAAGGAAGGCGTTGACTTCATGAAGTTGCGTATGTGTAACAATGTTCTCCTGTGATTCAATTGGCAGATTTTAGTTTGGCGTGTGACAGGACAATATGTTGTCCTTAATGTTGTACTGGGCATCCTCAATGCAGTGCTCATAGAATCCATACATTCGGCTCATCGAGTCTACACTGACCCTCCAAAGAGCATCCCACCCAGACCCACTCCCTGCCCTATCTTTGCATTTCCAACTCTAGACACTATATGAGCAATTTAGCATAGTCAGTCCACCTAACCTGCTCATCTTTGGACTGTGGGAGGAAACTGGAGCACCACAGAGGAAGCCCATGCAGACACAGGGAGAATACGTAAATGCCACGCAATCTGGTGCTGTGAGGTAACAGTGCTAACCACTGAGCCACTGTGCTTCCTTTTAATCTGCCACAGGCTTTCCTTCAGTAGCTGCAATGTTGAAGTGTTGACAATTTTTTTCGTATAACTGAAAAGTACATTTTTGTCATGCTACTACACTCAAGCTTTGAAATTCCCAATACTGTTGCAGTAATTTTCAGTGCCTCCATAGAAATTGCTGCCATACGTTACAGTATAATTACAAGCCAAGCATACATAATCATTCTCTGAAAGAATAATGCACAAAGCATGTCATATTTTTATTTTCTAATTAATCTGTTCAGAGACATTATGACACACTTCTAGAGCAGATGGGAGTTGAACCCAGGCCTCCTGGCTCAGAGGTAGGGACACCACCACTGTGCCACAAGAACCCTCCAAAATGCCTGTTATTCTCTTGTAGTATAGATTGCGATAGAAATTACCCTGGAGTGAGCAGGCAAAATAGATTATTGATATTGAATTGGCTGACCATTCTGTACCATCCTCAAAACTGAGCTCCATTCATTTGAATCTATCAAGTCAGATGTATGACACAGTCCATACAACACCCATGTTTAGCAACCCTACCCAAGTACATTTCTTCCCATATTGCACCACCCCCTCCCCAACCTCCCCATTTTGTGTTACAACATGTTGGATTCCCTGGTAGATTAAAAAAGTTATTCTTTCAATAACTGTATTCTTGGCATTTTTTTTATGCATTGTAAGCCTCGGAATGCCAATGTGTTGCCATTCATCAAAAGTTTTGGATTTGTATCAAATTCCTTTACTAGTTAAATAGATTTAAATTTTAATATAAACTAGGAGCAGCAGTAGGCCATTCAGCCCTTTGAGCCTCCTCATCCTCCATGGCTGACCCTCTTTCTCAATGCCATGGGGGCATCGTTAGCTCTGTTGGCTGGATGGCTGGTTTGTGATGCAGAGTGACGCCATCAGCACTGGTTCAATTTCCCCATACTGGCTGAGATCACCATGAAGGTTCCACCTTCCCAACCTTGCCCCTCACCTGAGGTGTCACCACCAGTCATCTCTCTAATGAGAGAATAGTCCTGTGGTCTTCTGGGACAATGGTGCATTTATCTTATCTCAGTGCCTGCTTTCTCACCATACCCCTTGAGGCCTGTAAGATCTAAAAATGTATCAATCTCTTTCTTGAGTATGTTCAGTGACTTGGCCTTTACAGCCATCTGTGGTAGAGAATTCCTCAGGGTGACCACCCTCTCAGTGAAGAAATGTTTCCTCATCTCAGTCCTCGCTGGTCTACTCCGTATCCCCCTGAGACTGTGACCCCTGGTTCTAGGCTCCCCAACCAGGGGAACTAAAAATAATAATAACTAAAATTGCTAATAATAAATTAATAGTCCATTTAAAATGAATAGTTTAGTGCCTCCATTAAAATAGCAGCTAAAGTAATGCCCGCAGTATAATCTCTGGATAAGGATGTTTAATTTTGGGGTGGAAAGCTGCCTCTGGCAGTGGTGTAGAACGAGCAATATTGAATTGGCTGCCTGTTATATGCAACTTCCTGATATTGAACTCAATCACAGTCAACAGGCCCAGATGAATTTCTACTCTACAGAGTTCGTCTTTGTAATGAGTCTAAAAATCCATGTCATTTTAAAGTTGTAGCAAAGATTTGTAGTTCGGGTTGTGGGTGAGGTTGTTGACTTGCTCGCTGAGCTGGCTTGTTTTTGTTCAGACATTTCATCACCATGCTAGGTAACATCATCAGTGAGGCCTCCAATGAAGCAATGTTATTCTACTCCGCTTGGAATTTATACTGTCCAGTCCGTTATGGTGAGTACTGTCATTTCCGGGTTTGATCTGTATGGGTTTGTATATGGGGTCCAATTCTATGTGTTTGTTGATTGAAGTACGGGTGGAGAACCATGCCTCTAGGAATTCCCGTGTGTGTCAATGTTTGACTTGGGCTACTATGGTTACCTTGTCCCAGTTAAACTGATAGCCTTCATTGCCTAAGTGAACTGATATTAAGGAAATGGCCGACAATGGGACACCTTCGCCAGCTGACTGAGCTCTACCTGCGAACAACTTCACTTTCTCCACGAGTGCCTCAGGAACCAGGTACTGCACCACAGCGTGAAATACAAACCTCCACTCAACAACCCACAGGCTATAAAATAGCTGAACGGAATGGATGCAGAATGCTATGAGCAATGATTCATGATGCCCATAACCGACTCCACAGGTACGAACAAGAAATTGCATGCCAAAAATCACAGTATCTAAGCACTACGGACCAGCAATGGACTACAACCCTAGAACAGGCCATCACCATCAATCAACACAAAACCAAATCTAAGAAAAGACACAGGCTACAGGAGAAACTCACCAAACTAATCGACCACAAAGACAAGGACCACAACAAACCGAACACAGGGATAAGAAATCTATCCAACAGACAACTCACAGAAACTGAGAAAACTGTCCTATTACAAAGTCTGAACAAGAGCCACAAAGATGCGAACAGAACAGACTTCATGGCCACCCTGGAGACTACATTAAAAGACAACAGACTCACGGATGAAACACAACAAGCCATCCGACAAGCTATAATCCCCACACTACACAGAAGGAACAAAGGGGACAACCTGAACACATCAGAGAGAAAAGCACTAGATAAACTCAAGAAAGACAAGAACATTATAATCCTACCAGCAGACCGTCATTATGAACAAACCAGACTACGTTAAGAAAGCACAAGCATTGTTTGCAGATACAACCACTTACCAACAGGTGGCGATAGACCCAACATCACAGCTAGGTAATAGGATCACCCAGACACTGAAGAGACTGAAGGATGCAGGGCAGACTACATGAGAGTGAAACCAGAAGGCACGAACACCCCCCCAGCTTCTATGGACTTCTTAAAGTACACAAACCAGACATCCCTCTCAGACCCATTGTCTCCTTACCAGGCACACCTTCACACAAACTGGCCAAGGACCTACAACAGAGACTGAAACACCTAGTCGACGGATCACCCCATTCCATCCACTCAACCCAAGAATTCCTCAATACCCTCAAGAACATAAAAATCAGCGAAGACGAGATTATGGTATCCTTTGACATCACAACATTATTCACGTCAATCGACATCCCACTAGCCAAAGAAACACTGGCCACATTACTAGAGGAAGTAGCAATGCAGACCAGCAGCTCCATCAGCAATGACATCATACTTGAACTACTAGACTTGTGCCTCACCACTCACTTCGTCTTTAATGGTCAAGTATATAAACAGATCAACGGTACGCCAATGGGGTCACCCATCTCAGGACTCAGTGCAGAAGCAGTCATGCAAAGACTAGAACACACCACCCTCCCCCACACTCAACCTAAACTGTGGATCCGGTACGGAGATGACACATTTGTCATTATTAAACGCAACAAATTAGAAGAGACCCACCACCTTATCAACAGCGTGTTTGCAGGGATTAAATTCACAAGGGAAGAAGAAAACAACAATCAACTTCCGTTTCTGGATGTTAGAGTTGAGCATATGACCGATGGGGAGTTCAAACCTCAGTATACAGAAAAGCAACCCACCCTGATCAAATCCTCAACTTCCACAGCAACCACCCCAACGTCCACAAACAAAGCTGCATTAGGACACTATTTAAAAGGGCCACAACTCACTGCAACATGCCAGAACTACACAGGAAAGAGAAGGAGCACCTATACAAAATCTTCGCTATGCACGGATATCCCCGCAACATCATCCGCAGATGCCTACTAAATAGACAACAACAAGAGGACACAGTACGCCCTAACACACTGGCCACATTGCCCTACTTCAAGAACATATCAGAACTGACAACGAGACTCCTAAGACCACTAGGAATCATGGTGGCCCACAAGCCCACAGCCACTCGATGACAAACACTTACAAGGATTAAAGACCCCATTCCCACCACATGCAGAAGGAACATGGTTTGCAAAGTGCCATGCAACGACTGCCACAAACGTTACATCAGACAGACAGGAAGGAAACTAGCCATCAGAACACATAAACATCAGCGAGCAGCAAAACGGCACAACGAACAGTCATATCAATATACTCGGACAATGAAGGCCATCAGTTTAACTGGGACAAGGTAACCATAGTAGCCCAAGCCAAACATAGACACGCACGGGAATTCCTAGAGGCATGGTTCTCCACCCGTAATGCAATCAACAAACATATAGAATTGGACCCCATATACAACCCATACAGAACAAAACCGGAAATGACACTACTCACCATAACGGACCAGACAGCATAAATTCCAAGCGGAGTAGAATAACATCACTTCATCGGAGGTCATACTGATGATGTTACCTAGCATGGTGACACAAGGTCTGAACGAAAACAAGTCAGCTCGGCGAGCAAGTCAAAAACCTAATCCATGTCATTTTTAGCCAATCTGTTAATACACGTGTGTATTAAGAGGTTGAAATTCCATTTGACCATAAGACCATCAGATATAGGAGCAGAGTTGAGCTATTCAGCCCACTGAGTCTGCTCCGCCATTCGATCATGACTGATGTGTTTCTGAACCCCATTCTCCTGCCTTCTCCCCATAACCCTTGATCCCCTTACCAATTAAGAACTTATCTATCTATGTCCTAAAGGCTTTGGATGACTTGGCCTCCACAACCCTCTGTGGCAATGAGTTCCACAGATCCACCACCCTCTGGCTGAAGAAATTTCTCCTCATCTCAGTTCTAAAGGGTCGTCCCTTCACTCTGAGGCTGTGCCCTTGGATCCTAGTCTCTCCTACTTCATGGAAATATCTTCTCCAAGTCCACTCTATCCAGGCCTCCCAGTATTCTGTCAGTTTCAATTAGATTTCCCCCATTTCTTTCTAAACTCTATTGAGTTCAGACCCAGAGTCCTCAACTTCCCCTCATGTGACAAGTCCTTCATCCCCAGGATCATTCTTGTGAACCTCCTCTGGACCACCTCTAAGGCCAGCACATCCTTCCTTAGATATGGGGCTCAAAACTGCTCTCAGTATTTCAAATCCAGTCTGACCAGAGCCTTATACAGCCTCAGCAGTACAGCCTTGCTCGAACATTCTTGTCGTACATTCTAGCCCTCTTGAAATGAATGTGAACATTGCATTTGTCTTCCTAACTGCCAACTGAACCTGTTCGTTAATCTTAAGAAAATCCTGAACTAGGACTTCCAGGTCCCTTTATACTTCAGATGTCTGAAGCCTTTCCCCATTTAGAAAATAGTCCATGCCTCTATTCTTCCTAGCAAAATGCATAACCTTTCACTTTCCCACATTGTAATCCATCTGCCATTAGCAACAGTTAATACATGCATACAAATTTTTTTGGGAAAACATTTACTTTAAACAAACAAAGGAAGTTAGCACGTTAATCAATGCATTACAAATGCCAGTAACAATTCGTATTCATTGAGCCCTTTAATGTAATAAAATGCCTCAAGGTGTTTCACCAAGAAATTTTAAAACAAAATCTGACAGAACTCCAACCTGATGGAAAATAGCGCACATAGTGTAAAAAATGGTGAAATGTTGTACAACACATATATAATTGGAGATTAACATACACACTATCCTCATTCTAAAATGAATGAGTTTCAAAAGAGGCTGTTCCACTTGTTCACGAGAAGGAAGGAAAAGTTAGAAAATGTTTTGCAGCACATTGGTACTTTGAATAACTTCTTGAAGTTTAACTGTTTATTGGTTTTCTTTTCATTCATTCTTGGGATATGGATGTTGTTGGCTAATTTCCCTTGAGAAGGTGGTGGTGAGTTGCCTCTTTGAACCGCTACAGTCCACGTGCTGTAGTTAGTCCACAATGTCATGAGGGAGGGAATTCCAGGATTTTGACTCGGTGACAGTGAAGAAACGACTGATATATTCCCAAGTCAGGATGGTGAGTGGCTCAGAGGGGAACTTGCAGGTGGTGGTGTTCTCATGAAATCTGCTGCCTTATTGGTCATTGTTAGCTCATAAAGTACCAATTTTATTGTCTATTTTGCTTTCCCAAGAGAGTGAACCACTGAGTGTTATTCTTTGAAGAAAGTTTACGATTTCATTCTTGCAAGGCCCTCTCTCCCTCGTTTTGTTCAACACCATTTGTAACCCCTTCACCCAAGTAGACTGGCCCAGGATCTATGGTATCTTCATGTCCACCACCAGTGTCAGGCTAAACCCACTTGACAGATTTGGGTGCTGGAATCTGCTTCCTTATGCTGAAGTAGCAGGGCTAAGACTGTAAAATTGAACATGGGCAGGAATACAGGAGGAATGGTATTGTACGAGTCACCATTTATACCCACCATGTACCCACTTGTTTCTGGAGAGAATCAAAATGTCACTGATAATCCAAACTCCAGGTGTGTGTGTGTGTGTGTGTGTGTGTGTGTAAGTTTATTCTAAAGCAACATATAAAACTGAACAAAGCGAAAGTTTATAATTACTTTGTGTTTTAGCCCAAAGATGCTTCCAACGATTGTTTTCAAACTTGTTAGTGTAATGTGAATGTGAAACACTCTGATGGCAAAATGGTGGCACATGATCTCTGTTAGTATTTTGCCTATGGATTTAAATTTCCATGTTGGTTGAATTGATTAGATAAACACATAATAATTAACATGTTACATACAGATCTCATTAACTTCCTTTTCAGAGTCTTGGACGATCAGCACCTTTACTTTTCCTTTTGGCTTCGGGTACAATAACCATTGTAAACAGGTGGACGTGAGCATGCTTAGTATTCCGTCTTGTCTGAAGGTGAACTAACGCAGTTGATAACCTGTAGACCAGTTTATTGTCTCACTCCCTTCCTTGTAGAATGGATTGCTCCCTCTTGTCATGTTTAGAGTGAATACTGACAACATTGTAAACATTTCTTTAAATTTATAGCCTTTTGGAAGATTTTGAATTGTTTCAGTCTACTGTGTGTGTTCTGTGAAAGTTCAAAGAATGAATTGATTTTAAGATGTTTCCCAGTTGTGCAGAACAACTGCTGTTGACCCCTTTGAGTACTGAAGACAAATTTGGGTCTGCTGAATTGTTTATGGTGGCTAACTCCCTCAGCATATTCCTGCTGTGATTTCTGGGGACAAGTGTAACATACAGTACCAATTATCTCTGTTAAATTACTATTGTTTGTTTAGTGATTTGTGTCAATCATAAGCTCAGCTAAAATGCTGAGTCAGAATTCATAACAGACAAACCAAATATTTGCATTTGTTCTTTATTGGATGGCTTAATTCTATTATATTGTCTTCAGTGCTCAGAGTGTGTAAAAAGAAAGCGAGTTAAAATGTTGACAGAATGGGTTTCTGTTCCTTCCTTTGTTTCTTTTTGGCCAAGTATCTTTTGAGTACGAAGGACTACACTCATGATAATCACTAAAATAAATCAGAGGTATTAAAAAGCATGGATCGGGGAGATGCTAGTACATTTATTCTACACATTCATCAAACCTGCTTCGTATATAATATCTGACTTTTTGATCATAGTGAAAGAGCCACATTACTGTACCAGTGCAATGTAAACCCAATCACAAATGCCATTAATTTAGTTGTTTAAAATAAGATCCAATCTAAGCATCAATATCAAGCCATGCTGAATGGGCATCCCTTAGAATTTGGATTTTAAACCGTTTGGAGATAGAGTGGGAAATTCTCTCTTCCCTAGGAGGTACTAAGGCGTACAGATTTCACTTATTTAACATATTAATACTAAAGTGTGTCAAACCTAGCCCCTCAGACTCTGTAATTTCCTCTCCCACCGCCGCACTTCTCTGCTCCCCAAGCCTTGCAGCTGTGTAGTGCCCTCATACAAACATTGAGTCAAGAACTGAAGAAGGCCATCTTCAGTGTCCAGTTTTTAAAGTTCTCACTTTAGCAAAGGCTCGAACTTTTGACCATGTTTTGCTTGAAGGCAATGTATTCTGCCCGGTACCATCTTCAAATTCTTCCTTGCCCATGAGTCTTTTCAAACCTGATTTAACAACAAATAACATTTCAGAAACTTCCCGAAGAGAGTGAGCTGGAGTGCAGCTTCCAATTGAAATTTTCTGGGAATCCCACTTGGTTTTGTGCATCTGAATTTGAGTGCAAAATGTTAAATTGAACATGACCGAGCTTAACAAATCATGAAATGTCGGTTTGACTATCGTTAGGAACAGTTTGTTTGCAGATGGAACCCTGTGTCCCTCTGCCACTCACCCACATCCTCCTGCATCCAATCCCATGACCCATTTCCAATGCAGTGCCTCTGTATATAAAGGATATATCAGAGGTTAATTTGATATGCAGCACAGATTTACCTGTATTCTTTTTTGTAGGTACCTTTTATTTGTGTGGCTTAATTTTCTGGGCTTTTTCTCCCCTCACTTCGATCGGATCTTCACAAAGTAAAGGGCAAGGGTAAGGTTCTTATCATCCATTGGGCGTTTTCCTCCAACAGGTCCCCTTTAGTTGTCTGTGTGTCTGTGACCCTTCTTTTCACTTTTCTTCCTTTTGTTCTGTCTTATGCCTCTTCTCAACTTCGCATTTCCTTCTAGGTCACTAGGAATTACTTCAGGCAAGGGAAGTAGGGAGCTGGCCTCAGTTCATCGCAACGAGCTTGAGGCAATCTCACAATTAGTCCATTTTGTTTCATCAGCAATAGGGCCTTTGCTAACAGTATTGGGAACTTTGCTTTTCTGTTTCTGTATAGGTTTCCTTAGTCAGCCTCGTAGCTAATGCCCTGGGCTACTCCGAACTAGGTGCCATTAAGTCTCTTAGGACACTAAGAGCTTTGAGACCTCTAAGAGCCTTGTCACGATTTGAAGGGATGAGGGTAAGATGGAATAGCAGCTGACCTTCTGCATGCATATGAGAACAAGTTTAAGCATGCTAGAATTGATCAATAAACTCTGGGAAGGGGTAAATTAACCATGACACAGCTGCTGAACTTATCCCCTCTCCCTGTTATTCCCCCACCTGCACCCTCTCCTGAAAGGGAGATACATTAGGCTGCCTCATCACATTTAGACTGGCCCAAACTACATGCCATCGTAGAACATACATCAGCCGTTCTCATTTGGCCTGGCTTTCCTTTAGTGTTTAAAAGGGTTTTTCTGCTGTAACCTAAATGGAGAATCACCAGGTGCAAAGATGTACACATGGAGCATATGCACAAGTATGGATCAGGCCAATGTGACTGATTGGAAATTGATCCACAAAGTGCCAAACTTGATTAAATTCATTGATTGGGAACTGTGATCATTTGTGTGCAAATCTGAGGTGGAATCGACTGTTTTTGACGTCTGAATGTATGTGTGATCGTAACAGTGTGTTTCTCAGCTTGTTAAATATATGCACAGCCGTGGTGTTCATCTTGTTGTACCTGGTTGTTCTCAATCCAGTCCACTGGAGACTGGTGGCCTTGTCTGACAGCTTTTCCTTCCACTCCCTCCCTTCTTTATACCATGCTCTATGGTACTCCTGTTGTGTCACTTTAAACGAATCTGAACACAATCAAGCATTGCACTGACTGAGTTTGATGCCATCATAACATTTGAAAGATTTGACATTAGAGAATGTGGGATGAAACTCACTGCTGTTGATTGCATGGAATCCATATTGTGTAATCGACCAGACATTTTGAAGATGTGTGTAAATTATAATGTACCTGTACCTTTATTTTGACTGAGCAAGTACACAGTACAGACCATCCAATGCTCATTAAGCAGGCAAAACTTGGAAAAACTCAATTTTTTTCCAGGTTTTGCATTCAATGGCTTGCAAGTATCCCTAGTTTAGATATATGGTATGGTCAAGAGGAACTGTACGACCAATCAAGCCAGTTTAAACCCCCCCAAACCTAGGACAGGCAAAACTGCAGTGTAAGGTGACTAATACAACAGCAAAAGTAAGGACTGTGTTCCAAAGATGTATTTGATCTCTAATCACCTCACACTCGTAGAGTAAGGTACAGACTGACAAACTCATAATCCATCACTTATTTTATGCTCTGTATGTGCTGCGCATTTTAAACGCACTTTTATACTTACCCTCTGTTTGAAAATTGCCTGCTGCAAAGCCAAGGTAAGTACATTGCAGAGAATAAAGGGCGGATTTTCATTACCGAGATGACAAACAGGCGAGTGCTGAGGTAGGCTGCTTCGAAGGCCTGCCTGGGTTCATTGGGAATACCTTCCATTTCTTGTAGAAGATCTTAGCCTCTTCTGCCCTCATACCTCCAATCTCACGCCCACACCCCATGCCCTCTCTATGCCAACACATGCCACTCACCCAGCATCTACTATGGGCAGAGCTCAGTAGCCAACTGGAGATGGAAAAAACAAACTTATAACAACTTAATGGAGATCTCACTTATACCTTCTTTAATGCAAAAATCTCCCATTTGTGAAAGGCAGTCAAAGGTTTTAATTCCCCTCAGCATCCAATCTGTATTAAAATCCAAGTTCTATTTATGTAACCAGATCAAAAGCAGCTAATGCTTTAATAACCTCTTTAAACTGTCAATCAAAATGCAACCTCTAGTGTTCCAGTCGAGAGAAATGTTCTTTTAATTTTTCAAACTCAGCCAAGATTTCAGAATCATATCAGCTACAACAACAACCCTTGGGAAATCCCAATCAACAACTCTATTGATACTGCAGGAATAAATGGTAATAGGTTTTTTCTCTCTTTGTTCTTATCTGGGATGTGGGCATCACTGGAAGGACTGGCTTTTATTGCTAATTCTCAATTGCCCCTTGAACTGAGTGGCTTGCAAGAGTCAATCCAGAGGACGGTTAAAAGTCATCTACTTCGCTGTGGCTCCGGAGTCACATATCGGCCAGACTGGGGAACGATGGCAGATTTCCTTCCATAAAGGGCATTAGTGAATCAGACAATTACATGGTCAGCATTAGGTTAGCTTTTAACCCAGGATTTTAATGAATTCAAATTTCACCTCTGCCAGTGCCTCCCCTTTGCTAATAGACATCTGATTGCCTATCCATCAAAGCAGTCTCACAGAATCTCAGAATTGTTACAGTGCGGAAGGAGGCCAGTCAGTCCATTGTCCCTGCAAAGAAGGAAGCATTTGTCAGGCACAGACAGCAGAGATTGAGTGAATCCCTAGAAGAGTATAAAGGCAGCAGGGGTATGCTTAAGAGGGAAATCAGGAGGGCAAAAAGGGGACATGAGATAGCTTTGGCAAATAGGGTTAAAGAGAATCCAAAAGGATTTGCAAATACATTAAGGACAAAAGGGTAACTGGGGAGAGAATAGGGCCCCTTAAATATCAGCAAGGTTGCCTATGCGTGGAACCACGGGAGATGGGAGAGAAACTAAACGAGTATTTTGTATCCGTGTTTACTGTGGAGAAGGATATGGAAGGTATAGAACGTGGGGAAATAAAAAGCGATATCTTGAAAAATGTCCTTATTACAGAGGAACTGACGTTTTCCCAGCCACCGTCAGTTCTGAGGAAGGGTCACCAAACCCGAAACATTAACTCTGTTTTTTCCTCCACAGATGCTGCCAGACCTGCTGAGCTTTTCCAGCAACTTTGTTTTTGTTGTTGTTGTTGACAGAGGAAGTGGTGTTAGACGTCTTAAAATGCATAAAAGTCGATAAATCCCTGGGATCTGATCAGGTGTACCCTAGAACTCTGTGGGAAGCTAAGGAACTGATTACTGGGTTCCTTGCTGAGATGTTTGTATTATCGATAGCCACAGGTGAGGTGCCGGAAGACTGGAGGTTGGCTAATGTGGTTTCACTATTTAAGAAAAAGCTAGAGTAAGGAAAAGCCAGAGAACTATATATCAGTGAGCCAGACATCAGTGGTTGGTAAGTTGTTGGAGGGAATCTTGAGGGACAGGACTTACATGTATTTGGAAAGGCAAGGACTGATTAGGGATGGTCAACATGGCTTTGTGCATGGGAAATCATGTCTCACTAACTTAATTGAGGTTTTTGAAGAATTAACAAAGAGGATTGATGAGGGCCGAGTGGTGGACGTGATCTATATGGACTTCAGTAAGGCGTTTGACAAGGTTCCTCATGGTAGACTGGTTAACGAGGTTAGATCACAGGGAATACAGGGAAAACTAGCCACTTGGATACAGAACTGGCTCAAAGGTAGGAGGCAGAGTGGTAGTGGAGGGTTGCTTTTCAGACTGGAGGCCTGTGACCAACGGTGTGCCACAAGGATCGGTGCTGGGTCCAGTGCTTTTTGTCATTTATATAAATGATTTGGATGTGAACATAGGAGGTATGGTTAGTAAGTTTGCAGATGACACCGAAATTGGAGGTGTCATGGACAGTGAAGAAAGTTACCTCAGAGTACAATGGGATCTTGATCAGATGGGCCAATGGGCTGAGGAGTGGCAGATGGAGTTTAATTTAGATAAATGTGAGGTGCTGCAGTTTGGAAAGGCAAATCAGGGCAGGACTTATACACTTAATGGTAAGGGCCAGGGGAGTGTTGCTGAACAAAGAGACCTTGGAGTGCAGGTTCATTGTTCCTTGAAACTGGAGTCGCAGGTAGATAGAATAGTGAAGAAGGCAAATAGTATGCTTGCCTTCATTGGTCAGTGCATTGAGTATAGGGGTTTGGAGGGTCATGTTGCAGCTGTACAGGACATTGGTTAGGCCAGTTTTGGAATACTGCGTGCAATTCTGGTCTCCCTGCTATAGGAAGGATGTTGTGAAACTTGAAACGGTTCAGAAAAGATTTACAAGAATGTTGCCAGGGTTGGAGGGTTTGAGCTACAGGGAGAGGCTGAATAGACTGGGGCTATTTTCCCTGGAGTGTCGGAGGCTGAGGGGTGACTTTTTAGACGGTTATAAAATCATGAGGGGCATGGATAGGGTAAATAGACAAGATCTTTACCCCATGGTAGGGCAGTCAAAAACTAGAGGGCATCAGTTTAAGGTGAGAGGGTAAAGATTTAAAAGGGACCTAAGGGGCAACTTTTTCACACAGAGGGTTGTGCGTGTATGGAACAAGCTGTCAGAGGAAGTGGTGGAGGCTGGTACAATGGCAACATTTAAAAGACATCTGGATGGGTATATGAATAGGAAGGGTTTAGAGGGATATGGGCCAAATGCTGGCAAATGGGACTAGATTAATTTAGGATATCTGGTCGGCATGGACGAGTTGGACCGAAGGGTCTGTTTCCGTGCTGTACAGCTCTATGACTCTATGACCTGTTCTATTACCTTGTACCAGTCTCCTGCCTTTTCTCCATATCCTGGCACACTGTTTCTACCCAAATCATCAGTCCAGCAAAGGGCGTTATTTTTTATACTAACTGACAAGTTTATTTGTCATAAATTACTGGGTTGGATAAACAGTCAAATCACAACACTTAAACAGACCTCATCTACCCTTCATAAGCATTTACATCTACACCATCTCACACTCT